AAGCTGGCGCGTCGGGTCCGAGGCGCTGGTCTTGCGGCCAGCGGTGTCTGACCAGTTGGCCTTGGTCAACACCGCCATGGGCTCAGCGGTTCGGGCTGGCCAGCAGGGGCAGCCCGCTAGCCAGCTGGTTTGACGGGGCGCCGGAGATGGAAGCGGCGATGCGGCGTCGAGCTGACGCTGCCTGCGCCGAGTCGCCAGATGGGCCAGGCCGAGCGGCCCATCGCCTCATCGAGCAGAAGAAGGATGAGGCGGCGGCCGTCGAGGAGGCCGACGACCCCAGGCACCTCCCCCAGGTCGGCGCGGCGGCGGCGGACGCCTTCCTGGAAGAGTGGCTCGATCTGCGGGTCGAGCCGTCAAAGGAGTCGGAGGAGGAGGCCGGCCAGTGGCAGGTAACCACTGGCCTGTCGGCCACCACCACCGACCAGGTGCGCGAGGTGGCCAGGAGGTCCCCTCGCCAAACGGGCCCTGGCCGGGACAACTTCCACCCGCGGGCCCTGCTCTACCTCAGCGGGGCGCTGCTCCAGAGGTTCGCGGACATCCTTAACCGCTGGGAGGAGCGCCCCGTCATGCGCCTCCGCAGCTCGGCCGACAGCTTATTGGTCTCCTCTGCGCGCGGGGGCGGGTCGGGTCTCGCGCGCGCCAAGCCGAGGCGCGCCGCTGGGAGCCGAGCGCCGGCCAGGCCTTCTGTTGGGGCAAGTCTGGGGGCACGGCGGCGGACAGGGCAGCCCATGTACGCGACCTCCTCGCGGTGCGCGCCCGGCGCCACAGCGCGGCCAGCGGCTCGGTCTTTTTCAACTTGTTTCGTTTTGTATGGAAATGCCCCGCAGACGGCGATGAAGCAGGTAGCTTGTCACTTCGACTTCGACCTTGGCCTTGTCCGGTCGCTGCGCGCGCTCTGCCGCGGGCCGCGCCGAGTCCGTTGGTTTTCGCGCGCGACTCGGGCCATCAGGACGAATGGCGCGGCGGCGGCGGGGCGCCCCTGCGCTGCGGGGGCCGTGTGCGCGTTGAAGCAAGCGGTGCTCGACGCGCCCGGCTGTCGACCCAGCTTTTTGGCCAGCGATCTCAAGCTGCGCGACGCAGGCGGCCCGCGCACTGCGGCGGCGGCTCAGCTGATCAAGGCAGTGAATTTGATTTTGACAGCCAAGCAGCAGCTCGGGCTTCTTGTCAACACGTCCAACTCTTACTTTTTGGTTGCAGACGACGAGCTGCTCGACCTTCTCCTCGATGACCCCGAGAGGCCCCTCAATGCGTCGATGGTTGCATGGCTCTCCTCGGGACCTCGGGGGGGGCGCAGTAGACGGCGCGCGCCATGAGATCCCGATCCAGGCCGCTCGGCTCTCTGGGGCCCGCGCTGCTGCCGGCTGGCTTCGGAGGCTGGGCGGCGGCAAAAATGCGCTTCAGGCGTCCAGGGCTGGCCCCGCGACCAAAGCTGTTCGGGGGGGGCCATCCCGAGGGGCCAGCGATTCGGCGATGAGAGAGCTGAGGGTTGCAGCGGCCTGCTGCTTCTGACCTGCACAGCCGACCATGAAATCATCAGTATGCGCAGAACGTAAGGGGCTTCTGGCAACCCGCTGATGGACGCTTCTCGAGAAAAGCTGTCACATGCAAACGAGCAAGCTGGGCTTGAGCAGATACGTCTGGGGCGCGGAAAGGGCATGGCTTGCACAGGCAAAGGCTGCGTTGTTTTAGATGTGATTGTGGCTGTATCCTGAGAATTGATCAACACTTCGGACTACAAGGCATCGGACGTGAATCCGGCATTGGTGGGACGGCCGGTTGTGTGCAGCATCCAGGCATCAACGTTGAACTAATCTTGAGCACGCTGCAAAGACACGGAGAGCAAGCGGTTCAATTTTTCCACAGTTACTTTTCGTAGCATACACACGGTGGTATGTATGCGGGCAGTGCTTCTGTCACCAACGATGGAGTTCACATAGTTTCGCAGAAGTGGTACGGTCAGCGTGAGGCAAGCCACGTCGGATACGCCACGGCGGACATGGAGGCTCCATCGGGCTTCTTAGAGTTTTAGAATGCGATGAAAATGAATTTGAGGAGCTCGTTCGCGGATTACACACATTACTGATGTTAGGAAATGTTGCGATTGATTTAGTTAGAACATAGCAGGCTGCTGTTACCAGCGAATAGGTATATGCCATGCGTAACTTGTAAGAGGCGCTTTGCATATTTGAGTTTGTGTTAACGTACTCGATGTTTTTATCTGCACATCGCATGCGTATGTACATGTACGTTTCCTCCGCGAGAATTGGGAGGCTCCCCATTGTCCGTACACTGACAATCATTCGTGCCAATTCCAGCAGCCTTGAAAAGCCACCCATCGAGGATATGGGGGGGGTGGAGGCCCAACGGTAGCAGAGGTGGCCGACGACACCCGAGATGTTCCACCATGGAAGTATTCGGTAGTGTTGGGAGCACGCTCTTTTATCCGGAAAAAATCGGCTGTACCGTCGCAGCGCTTGATGTGCCGCACATTTTGGTCGACCTTGCCGTGCCATGAGGGCAGCAGCTGTCACCGGCTTCTCGTCAGGACGCCGCGGTGGAGGCGGAGGTGGAGGGCACGTGTCACCTGCGGTTGCGGAGGCGGCGGAGGACGCTTAAGTTCCTCGACGCGGGCGGGCATTATTTGGGAGTGTTGACTGCACGTTCCGTTTCCCAGCAAGAAAACACAACATCGTCGTAAAGCCGGATGCGCCATGCTTATAAGTTTGGGCCTCCGACTCATTGAGTCACCTTGACGGGTGGACGGCACCGTTGGGACGCCCAGTTCTAGTGGTCGGGGGGGCTCGTTTCTTTGCGAAGGTAGCGGGGGAGGAAGATCGCACCTTGACTTCGCAGAGGGTTGTTCACACTGCTTGGCCGCTGCGTAGCCTGGCACTGGTCACATTGCCTCAATCGGAATACCACCTGGAAGCGCATGCAATCGTTCCAGCCATGTCTATTGAGTAGGCTCCTTCTATCCGCCGGCACTTTCAAGGAGGACTAGAGAAATAGCGCGGGTACATTGGCCCGTACCGCGACTAAAACCAGCTGCGCATGGCACCACGCAGGCGCCGAATTGCCCTCGGCCCTGAGGAGGAGGAGGAGGAGGAGGAGGAAGCGGAGGATTGGGATGTAGGCCTGGTCGGAGGAGGCACGAGATAGCGGACAGCTCCACTCGAGTACCGATCGCCAGCCAAGCACACGCGTGTTGCATTGACTCTCGTCGAGGGAGTAGGAGCATTTGTGAAACGGGTCCAGCCCAGGCTGGAACTGCCCGTCCGCCGAGTATGCCGCATCCCAGAGATTTTCAATCGATGGCGTTTCCATGGCGCCTCGACGTGCCCTTGGACGACCCCCAGATCGCGCCGAAGTCTGATGTCCAGATGCTTCTATAAGGGCACAGATTGAGGAGGCGGGTTTGAGGGGGGGCGAGGTGGAGGGTCTGAGAACGCAGTCCAACCCAGACTGAATTGCCATGTGATTATTGCCTCTGTGTGTGCTCCGCAGGTGACGTCTCGAGGGCGGCAAGGCAGGACATAGATAATTCGTCCTTGTGCCACGTACCCAATGATGTGGATAGAGACGAGTACACAGTATCCTGGAGTTTCTTCAATCGCCGACTTCTTGCCATGGTGCTTCGCTTCGCTTTGGGCCGACCCCCAGATCGCGCTGAAGTCTGGGGAGGGGAGGTGGAGGTGGGGTGGATGATTTGTTTGTGGTTGGGCGGCTTCGTCGGAGGCGGAATGCGATAGCGGACAGCCCCACTCGAGGGCCGACCGCTAGCCAGGCACATGAATGTTGCACTGACTCTCACTGGGGGCCTTGAAGTTGAAATTGGGCTGAGATGGAGGGGGAGGATCGGATTTCATTTGAATGTGTCTCCATGTGGCTGGCAGCCGCGTGCTCTTTCAAGCATTTAGATTCGGCGAGGTCTTACAGGTGATTGTATGAGATATTGGGAGGTGGGGTGTCATGGCGGCGGGTGCGACACAAGACCTTCGTCGAGGGCACCCTCCTGGATATCTCTCAGATCCTAGGGGGTCATTGCGTTACCTGGCCATGCAGCATACTCTGGATGTTCTATTCATTTTTCTAGTTGTCCCGGATTCGCCCCTCTACTTTCTTATTGTTGCTCGGTTTGGCTTGCCTCTTTGCATTGCCGTTCTCTTGTCACACCCGAGAAACACTATCGCCATCGCTGCTGAAGTCCGCCGAGCTTGAAAAAGAGGAGGGTCATTCGAGGTGGCCGACAGGAGGGATCATAAAGGAGGGAGGATAAATGGAAGGAAGGGGGTTAGAGGGACGAGGGACGAGGGAGGGGCGAGGAGGGCGGAGATAGTACTGAACGGGGGAGGTGAAAGATGGGGAGGAATGATGGTACGCTTCCACAGTGCGCTCTCTGGGCGTGTCCCAGGCAGCCCGAACTCAACCGGGCCGCAACAGGGGCGGTAGGATGCGGGTGTCAAGCTGTGCCTTCCCGAGGTATCATTGGTACCCATCCTGTTCTTCTGTTTACCACGGTGTTCATGATGGTTGGCCGCTTGGGCGTCGGGGCTGTTATGCACATGCCAGTCTCATACGCGATTCCTTCAGGCGAAGGCTCACTGCGTGGTCTTCCCTGCTGCAAATCTGCGCGCATGGCGTGTGTCACTTCGCTCGGCGAGCATTTGTTTCACACTTCGGTCTTAGGATCGGCACAGTCGTTGTGATGTCCGTTCAGCTGTGGGGAAAGACATGTTTCATGATACCCTTTCAGACCGTCAGAACATATTGACCGCACACGTCGGACGTGAGTTTTATATCAAGGTTTGCTCTCGAGGGTTTGCTCCGCGCCAATCCAGTCCGCGACTTGGCTGGCAGGTTCGGGTCATGGCTGCGGTAATTTGTTTTTCTGCGCGTACCGATCCATGACCAATGCGAAGAGGATGCTGAAGAGGGACGCCTGCGTGTCTGGGATCCCTTGCCCTCGGTGCCGGCTGACACTGGCGCTGTCATGAGCGCAGGCCCGACAATTGCAGATGTTGCAGAGCGACCTCGAGAGCGATGAGGTCTCGAAGCCGGTCCCACGGCGGACGAAGCAGAGCATTTTTGAGTTGACCAGGAAGACCGTCGCAGCCGAGTTACAGGAGGACCAGGCGGGCGGCGGAGGGTCGAATACGTAAAGGATACATTAACATAATATGTTGGAGGTCAGCGCGGATATCTTGCACAGGTGTCAGGCCACAGTCCACACACACACACACACACACACACGCACGCACGCACGCACACACACACACACCCTTCCCTCGCGAAACGCGCAAGGGGCGGCGCAAGTGGCGTTGCCAGGGGTGTCCAGCGCCGGTCCAAGAGGTCCGCGCGGACCTCCGAAAGTTGACGTTCTTCATGCCGTGTTTTATTTCCCTGGATCCACATTTTGAGTGGGGCTCTCGTTTTTCTCTCCCACCCGCGTCGCCGCCACCGCGTTTCTCCCCCTCCGCCCTCCTCCCTCTCCTCATCACCCGAACCACGCCCGCAGGGCGTGGCAGGCATGGCATTTCCTCGACACCGGGGGGGGGTGCGTAGAGGGTGGGGCCCCCACCTGCGCCACACTAGCAGGGTGTGTGTGGCGGGCGTTGCATTTCTTTGGGGGGTTCTAGCCGCGCCCGGCTCGCAGGGCGTGGCAGTCGTGGCATCCCCTCGGCTCCAGAAGGGGTGCGCAGACGGTGGGGTCCATATCCGCGCCAGTCTTGCAGGGCGTGGCAGGCGTGGCATTTCTTTCGCGACAGTTTTGCAGGGCGTACAGGCGTGGCATTTCCTCGGCTCCAGAGGGGATGCGCAGGGGGGGGTGCGAGGGATTGGTTGCGGGCTCTATTCGCGTCAGGCTCCCAGAGCGTGGCAGGCGCAGCACTTCCTCGGCACCAGAGTGGATTCGCTTGGGGTGGCCCCCTTGTCGGATTCGCAATGTAATGCGCACGTGTATCAGCACACCAAACATAAATTTGAGAATGTGGAGTTCCTCAGAAGCGTAATGCTCAGGCGTTCTCGCTCCTCTGAAGGAGGGAGGAGGGGAGCACGAGTGAGGAGCGAGGGAAGGAGGATGAGGCGGAGGAGGAGGAAGAGAAGTCCTCCGAGGGCATCGAGGCTCGTTCGCTCGACAATGTCCGCAGCTCGAATCTCGAAGAAGGAGTCCTGCCTCCTCGTCCCTCGTTTCCGTCGGGGCGCCCGCTCCCCGCTTCCGCCCTGGCTTGCGCGTTATAGGATGTGCCTCGACCGTGGGGTGGTAGGGATGAGGCGGGCGGCAAGGGGAGCGTGGAGCGGCACGGAGGGGTACAGTCGAAGCCGAAGGTAGGCATGAGTAATGTTTCCAAGGGTACCCTTTGCATCCTTGCTCCTTCGGTCCATCCTTCACCACTTTCGATTGCCAGCCCCGCTCAAGAATTCTCGACGGTTGCTTCCAAGGGGCTTGCATCCTTATGTTGCATCCTTACTATTAGTTTTGGCTGTAGGCGGGGGGGAGGAGGGGAGGGGGAGGCAAATCACATCAAAGTCAGTTCACGTTTGCATATTGTTCTCGCTGTGGTACCGTGCTGCTCCTCAGCACAGGGGGGGAGGCTGGCAGCAGTCTGTGGGCTCGGGGGGGGTCAGGAGAGAAGAGGGGGTAAGGGCGAGGGGAGGGGGGAAAGAGGAGGGAGGAGGCGTGGGAAGGGGGAATGAGTGGGAGGTGGGGAGGAGGCGGAGGAGGAGGAGGAGGAAGAGGACCAGAGTAACATCAATATGATTATGCAAAACACTCTCTGCCGTCCCAAGTTCCCTCCTCATAAGTCCCTGCAAGTCCTTGCATCCTATGCGGTGAGTGATCAGAAGCGTTCGAAGGTATGATCATGCATTTCCAATTAGGCTTCCAGCGAGACCCCCGTTTTGACAAGGACCGCCCCATCTGCGCGATCATTGCACCGGTGTTCTGTTACATTCGTGCCCATAAGCGCCGAGGGAGTTCCTAACCAACACCCATCCGAATCTGGAAAGAGGAGCCGCCCTCCATCACTGCAGCTGTTGCGTCTGTTCACGTTTGTGAGCCCTTCAAAGTACAATATTTTCCAGGGAACGTCAAATTCCATTCACCGGTGCAGCCGTTGCATATGCTCATTTTTCTGTTTTGATCGAAGCCGTAAGCGAAAGCCGCACTTTGAAAAGGAGCCGCCCTCCATCTTTGAAACTGCTGCAAGCTTTTAAGGCGAATGTTCGCGGCGCTAATGCGAGAAGCCAAGTTTGGAAAAGAAGCGTCTTCCACCATTGAAGTCTTTGAAAAAATATCAGGCGAATGTGCGCGTCGTTGAGGCGAGAACTCTTTCCTGAGAACATTTACCCCCTACACTTGAAACGGGTGTATTTGCCGCCGGGAGTTCCATTTTTAATTTCGCTGGCCTCCACCATTGGAGCTGCTGTGAGCTTCGAACACGAATGCGCGCAGTGCTCAGGCGGGAGCTAGATTTTCAAAACCACCCCCCACCATCCGTGAAAGTGATGCACATATTATGGTGAATGTGCGCGGCCCTGAGGCGAAAGCTCCATTTGGAAAATGACCTTCCTCTTTCCATGCGGTTATTGCAAATGTGCAAAGCTTCGCGTATCCCCGCCAGACTGGATTACTTGGCGCTCGACTTTCAATCGCTTTGGTCACCTTGGTGGTTTCTCGCCCATCCTACACCAGTGTCCTCATCGACATCCTCGCGGGCGTGCTCGCGGTACCTGTGTGATACAACCCGCGCCATTTTGGTTGCGCTTCGCTCTGCTCCGCTCTGTGGCTTTTTCCTTCGCTACGGCGCGGCCCGCCCTGGCGTGCTCGGACGCGCCCGCGTGCCAAAAATCCCACCAACCCATTCAAAAACAATCGCCAGCGGAGTGGCCCCGATCAGGAATGTGTAACAGCACGCAGTGGGACAACAAGAGGACAGCCATTACCTTTTGCAAAGAGAAAAAAACGTATCTAGGAGTTTGTCTGGGGCGTTTGGGGAATGTTGGGGGGTGTTAGTGGGCGTCTGGAGGGGGTAGGGGGTTGGGGGTATCTTCGGGCCCTCGTGGTCATCTTGAAGGCCATGTGGCTGTTCTTGTAAAAATTGGGGAAGTAACGCATGTTTCCCCCCCCCTCCCTTCGAGTGACAAAGGAGGCGGCGCAAAATACGCCCGCCCCGGTCGGGATCCGAAAATGTGCATTGTGGGCCCCTCTTGGGGCGCTCTTGGGCGCTCTTGGGGCTGTCTTGGTCTCCGCGTTGTGCGCCCATTGGGCCATGTGTGTGCCGTTTTGGGGCCCCCTGGGTCCATCTCGGAGCAATCTCCAGGCCCCAGGGGCCCCACATTGAACACTATCCTGGCGAAGGACCCAACCATATGCAGATGTGAGTACCGCAGTTGTGGGTATCTTCTTCGGCGGTGCCCACGAGCCGTATGAGGGGCGTGCCGAAATGTGGCGGGCTCCACAACACGAAGGGAAACGATTGGTCGAATTCCGAGAGACTGAACGCGGGTGAATTTGAGCGCGAGTGAGTCTAAGTGTGAATGAGCCTGCGCGCGAGCGAATATATATACATATATATATATAGCGAATATATATATATATATATATGCACGAATGCGATCATGGCTACTCCTCGTGTAAATGTATATGAATGTGAATAGTTCGGGTACGCCTGTGTGTGCACGCCGCAGAAAAAGCTTCCGCGGGAACCCCGGCGGCAGCGCCCGCATGCCGCGACGCCCATGTCGGCACGCCCCTCACGAGGATCGCGCCCGCTTCCTTCCCTTTTTTTCCTCCCTCTTTGCCTGCGCACTCCAAAGTCCAAAGCTGCGGGCGCAGCGCGGCGCGGAGTCCCCGAGACGCGCGCCGGTCGCCCCGGAAGTGTCACAGCGACGCGCGCGGGTCGTCCGCTGCGCGGAGCAAGGAGAGCTAGCTAGCTAGCTAGCTAGCTAGCTAGCTAGCTAGCTAGCTAGCTAGCTAGCTGGCTGGCTGATAGGGGGCAAGGTTCTGACCGCTGGGCAGAGCGACGACGGGCGAGCGAGGCGCAGGGAAGAACGCAGCACGGAGTTCCCGCGACACGCGCTGGTCGCCCCGGGTGGGTCCCAACGACTCGCGCGGGTCGTCCGCGGCGCGAAGCAAAAACAATTAGTTGGGTAGTCAAGAAAGGGCGCGGTTCGGGGGGGGGGGGGGGGCGCTCCTCAGGTCAGGCCTCGCGGATAAACTCGGTGAAGGCGAGCTCTTTGTCGAGGGCCGTCGCCTCCCTCCTGCACCGCTTCGTGCGCGCCGTAAACTGCTCCAGCTGCTTCCGCAAGCCCTCCGGCGGCCCTGCCAGGAAGAACTCGATGCGCGGCGCTCGCATGAGCAGGAGGTCATAGTGGCGCGTGGCGCGCGATAACAGCACATAGAGTTCCAGCCGCCAGTCGTCGTCCTCCTTCTTGCCGTTCCCGACCTCGTGGCGGCCGCAGTCCAGGATCACGCCTGGGCGACGTCGGCCGAGGGGGCAGCGCGCGGGACAGCCGACGGCCCAGGGCGAGAGCCCACAGGACCGAGAGATGGTCCCGCTGCAGACCGCTCGCGCCCAGTAGGTTCGGGCCTTCGGTGGAGCTCCCTATGGAGCCACGAAACATGTGAGGCGTGTGCCGAAATGGGCGTGGGGGACGCATGCGGGCGGTTGCACTGGGGCCTTCGGTGGAAATCCATATGGGACCACGCAACGTGTGAGGGGTGTGCCGAATCGTGCGTGGGGGGCGCATGCGGGCGGTGGCACTGGGGCCGTCGGCGAAACTCCTTATGCGGCCACGAAGCGTGTGATGGGTGTGCCGAAATTGGTGTGGGGGACGCGTGCAGGCGGTGGCACTGGGGCGTTCGGTGGGACTCCTTATGAAGCCACGAAACGTGTGAGGGGTGTCCCGAACTGGGTGTGGGGACGCATTCGGGCGGTGGCATTGGGGCCTTCGGTGGAACTCCCTATGGGGCCACGAAGCGTGTGAAGGGGTGTGTCGACATGTGTGTGTGGGGGGGGACGCATGCGGGCGGTGGCAGTAGGGCCTTCGGTGGAGCTCACCATGGGGCCACAAAGCGGGCGGTGGTATTGGGGCTTTCGGTGGAGCTCCCTATGGGGCCACGAAGCGTGTGAGGAG